AAAGCACCCCTTCAGTGGGGTGTGGTCTGGCAGCAATCTGTTTTCCTCTATTTCTCCAACCTGTGCGATTTTGGACTCTCATCAGCACATGGCTTATGTGTTTTCCTGGCCACCTGGGTTGGGATTCAAGTCATGATTGGCTCCGTGGTACCTGGCCCCCAGTGCACAGCACTTAACTGCTATGCTACAGGGCTGGCCCTTAGTCTTTTCAAATACATTAGTATAATAGTATAATACACTTTAGTATCCTTCTTTTTTTAGAGAGAAATTTTTGCTATAGGACATGTAAACTCACTTAAGAGACACAGAGAGAGACAGAGAGAGAGAGAGACAGAGGTAGGAAGCAAGAAATCACCCCTCCCCCCCAAAGGGGATGATTGCACCATAATCCCTTCTCCATTCTCCTTCTGAGATTTTGGGCACATACACACATGAGCCTGGCATGAATTTTAAGCCGCCAGGCCTGGAACTCCAACCATGATTGACTATGTGGGAGTCCAGTGACATAACCATTGCATCATCTGCTTTAGTACTCCTTACTTATTAGGAAAATAATAAGTAGGAGACTAACAGGTGGCATGGTAGGTAAGGCACTGGACTCCCACATGGCCAACCACCATTTGAGTCTCAGACAAAGTGGCTTGAAAATCACACCAGGCATGTGTGCCTAGAGTCCTGGGAGGACAGTGGAGGAGAGAGAATTGTGACATGGTGATCATCCTCGGGGGATGGGATGATTTCTCACTTTCCCTCTCACTGTCTCTCTCTCTCTCTCTCTCTGGTGACTGCATGTGCCCTAAACCAAAAAGAAAAGAAAAACCAAAAAAAGAAAAGAAAGATACCAAGCAGAAGACATTTAAAGGAAGAGAGGAGACATGTGACTACAGATACGAAAATCTGTATACTTCATGGTCACATGAAACACATAGCTACTCAGTTATAATCTTATGATCTGATGGAGTATGTTTTCCAAGCCACCCGGTCCGAAACTTGAAGTGTGGCCAGGTGGGATCCAGCACTTTAACTACCATGCAACCTGCTAGCCTATAAATTTCTTTATATACTGTATAGAGAATAGGATCAGAAGAGAAAAGAAAATATAGAGAATAGGATCAGACTTATTCAATAAAAATAAACAACTTCTACATAGTATCTCTCATATCAGGATGACTACACCTGATGTGGAGTTAGAAAATTTGCAAATCTAGGAATCACAATTCCATGTGTACCATTAGCCCATTGTGTGTGTGTGTGTGTGTGTGTGTGAGATTTCCGGAGTAGGTCATTTCATCTCTTTATGTATGATAATCACGATTATTTGAGGGTAAAAATGAGAAAACACACTGGAATTGAAAAATAATTATAAAGTAATCTATTTAAGTGTTTTCAAAAAAGCACTTAAAGTATTTCCAGGGTCTGTCCCTGTATCTTGGTGTTTAAGATGAGGCAGATCCCACATAGCTTACTGCAGTTAAAATCCTGGCTCTGGTGACTCAGGAAACACTGGCACGTGTGCTTGAGTGCCTGAAATCCTGACAGGATGGAAAACTGGGGAGAAGGGACTGGAGTGTGACCACATGCCATTGGAGAGTGCTTTCTCTCTCTCCCTCACTCTGTCTCTCTGGCAAATACACGTGACCTCCAACATTTAGAAAAGGAAAAAAGAAAAAAAATCTCCAGACTAAAAACTTGTAGATTTTGGCCAGTTGCAATGGTGCTATGGTAATGCAATACTCCACAACGCTGAGGCCACGAGGGAGGGTCTCAGATCTGTGTCCTGCAGCCTCCCTCTGAGCATCCATGTATATACTGGGTATGCAAGGGTGTGCCCATGACCCTGGTTGGCAGAAGCTATAGATGGATGTGGTGTGAGGACACTGTTGGGGATGACCCCACCCTACCCCCTCTCTGTCTGTCTGCTTTGTTTGTTTGTTTTTGCCATAGGGTGCATGCATTTAGTAGGGAGAGAGAGAGAGAGAGAGAGAGAGATGTAAATGAAGAAATCACCCCTAGGAGGGATGGCCACATTGCAATCCCTTCTTCTCCATTCTCCTCTTGGGACTTGGGCATGCAACCAAACACACCCAGTGTGATTTTCAAGCCCCAGGGTCCAGGACTTGAACTACGGTCAGCCATTTAGAAGTCCAGCGCTTAACCAGCACACTTAACCTGCTGGCACACAACCTGCTGACCTCTACCTTTCTTCCTCACGGAAAACATAAATGGATAAACCTTTTTTAAAAAAAACAGGTTGGGACCAGCAGTTGGCATAATGGCTATGTCGCTGGACTCACATGTAGTTGACTACAGTTCAAATACCGGACCCGGTGGCTTAAACTCATGCTGGGTGCATGTGCGTGCGTGCACAAAATCCCAAGAGGAGAGTGGAGGAGAACGGGTTGCGGAATGGCCATCACCTCGGGGGTGATTTCTCGTTTTCTGTCTCTGTCTCTCTCTGTCTTTCTGGTGAGTGCACATGCCCTATAACAAAAACCTCATAAAAAAAAAAAAAAAAAAAAAAACTTAACAGGTAATTTTATAATATTATAGAGACTTTTAGACTGGTTTTCATCCTTTAATTTTTAAGGGTCATACTTTTTTATTGTATCCTTCACAAGTCATTATCTTCAACCCTATTGATATTTAAAAACGTATATATTCAGGATAAATAATTGATTCAGCTCTTCCTACTTCATTATTTAATAAAAATATTTGACATAAATGTTCAATACAGTTTTATACTCTTACGTATTACAATAAATCAATCAGGAGCCTAAGAACTGATTTTTTTCAATAATTACATGAAATTATTAAATTAACTACTTTTGTGTTTTGAAATTAGCCCAGATTAGTTATTTTAGTATTCTCTCAAATTTTCTTGGATTTACCTTTAGGGCTCCCCAGTTCCTTCTTAGTTTCTTGCCTGTTTTCTTTATACCCTGGAAACTGACATTCTTCGTATCGCCTGTGTGTAGCTCTCCTTGCTATTCTTCCTCAAGTACACACTGGGTTTTTTTTTTCATGTTTCTGTATCCTGAAGATGAACTGTTCTTACTATTTCAAATAACTTACACATTGCTCTCATATCTGAGTTCTATGCACTTATGTACCTTAACCGTTCTTATGTTTTCAATTCTATTGGGCCTTTTTTCTTATGTACGATCTCTCCATATTCATTAAATCATTTACAGAGCACAAACTTCTTTGTTGATGTTATTTTTTTATTTTTATGATTGCTTGAAAAATTACTGTACTTATCTTTAGAGTAATATAAAATTGGATACCGGGATTTCTGACTAATTATCTTTACAGTAGCAGTTCACTGGTTATTTTAAATTAGCTTAAAGGCTTATAAGAGGAATTAAAGAATAAATAGTTATTTTTTAAAATGCTATCAAAAGTAAAGATTAAAATTAATAACATATTCTTTTTTTAATATAACATATGTTTTTTTTTTCCGGGTAAAAATTCTCATTTATTCATATGTAACTGCTTTGAAATTTGTACCTTAAGGACAAAGAAAGGTCACCAGTCCCTCTAACTCCTGGTTCTTTGTCAAAAATGGACACAGTTAATGAGGTTTGTTTGGTACAGAACAAATTCTCAGACACAGATAGAGATCCTTTCAATGGAAACAAATTTGTTTGGCTTTACCAGGTTACTTAGCGATTAATAATAGCCTTGAGATGCAGGTCAGAAAGGTCATTGTACCAGCTTGCCAACACAATCTAAATGTGCAGCTAGCCAGCTCTGTGGGTGCAGAAGCCCCCAAAATACTATGCATAAAGTAAAACAGGCTATTTTCTGACTCCTTTTTTCATATTAATAAGCAATTTTCAAGAGAAGGGTGGCAAAATGGGGGCCATGCCACTCCAAGTAATTCATTTATTTTGCAATTTAATCTTATGTTGAAAAAAATTGCTCTGCTGCAATAGCATAGCTTGGTGATTTTTAAACGTCAGTGTGTTTCATAAGTAACCTTGCACAAAGTATTGTATTAGGAGCCTTTAACGGAAAATTGCAACAAAAATAGTCATAGACATTGAAGTAGAAAGGAGAATCTTTTATTTTTGGAATTTTTCCTTAATATCTTTGAGGAGAATGCCTAACTGAATTACTTAAAATTTTACTTAGAGAATTAGATATTGCATTACATACCAATTTAAAAAAAAATGAAAGGTATAGTTTCAAAACATTGTTTTAGCATGAAGAGTTGAATTTGTCCTGTGAAAATAAAAGATTTTGATTTTTTTCCATATTTGATAATCTTATTCTGTTTAGCAGATATTTTCACAAAGTACATTTAAAAGCTAATTTTTGTTTAAATTTCTTAGATATACACACCTATATGACAAAAAGTTTCATATTTTAATGAAACTTATTATTTAATTTATTAATTTTAATTTTACCTCTCACCTAGACTTTTATTCTAATTATCTATATAACTGAACAAACTGTCAACTTTTCAAGAGCAGGATAATATATGTAATCATACTGACATTATTTGAATTGTTAACTGAAGTAAACTTATAATAAATTAAGAATACATATAAAACCTGTCATTCTTTTTAAATGAGTCCATTAGTTAGTATACAAAATTAATTATATTTGTAAATAAAACACACAAATTTGAAGGAAATTAGTAGCTCAAATGCTTTTGGGATCTGTAAGTATGCCCAAAATAGCTCACTTTCAACCGAAGAAACATAATGTAAATAAATCACTTCCTTTATGTTTGATGTGAGCATTTTCTTGGCTATTGAATTAATTATAATAAGTAGGCATTTGATTTTTAAGACTTAATCACTGAAAAAAAATCATTTGAATGCTTTCTAAAGCTCACAAAAATGTATGTAGAATCTGCAGGTAAGATAGATTACACTGCTGATTTTGATGGATGTGGGTTAGGATCGTCCCTCCAAAAATCTGCTCGATCATCATGAGTGAAAGAATTAAAATATTAACAAGTAATATAAATAATGCAGATGGTTTTGATGCAGGGAGGCACTGGAGGAGTTTGCAGAAATGAAGGAAAGAGAAGAAAAGAAGGCTAACCTGGAAAGGGAAGAGAAGCAAAGAGATCACCAAGCCCGAAAGATGCATTACCTCCTCAGCACAAAGCAGGTTGGTCTACCTGTCCCTGACAGCTCCCTTAGCCACTTGGGCCTGTCCCTGACAGAGATAAAGTAGCAGGCTGAATGGGACATGACTTGTTGAAAAGATATCACAAAGACACTACTTCCAGTTCAATTTCGTGCTTCTGGGTAGGTGTGCGCAGGCACCATGACTTGTCTGTGACAGCAGCTTCAGAGAGGCGGCCGCTGCGACGCTGGCAGAAAGGTCCCAGTCAGCAGTGTGATCTACCACAGTGATAACACAACACGAAGGGCACAACCTCGCTTTCAAAACTCATTCTGGGTGGCTTATTGTTGTGTTGAGAATTAATCAAGAACTAACAAGTTATTAAGCTGTGGTGGTTTTCCTGCTTTCTCTTTCAATTGAGCTAATGTTGAGATTTAATCCGTTCCTCCACTCTTTCTAAATTTTGATGGAAGTTTCCAGGTAACGCTTTTAACAAAATTGTTTCAGCAATTACATTTCCATGCAGAAATATAAATGTGGAACTTAGAATACTTGGGAATCTATTTTCTTACACTTGCTAAAATGTCAACACCTCGAATTGTGGCACGGTCACTAAGGGAGAACATAATACATATTGAATATTCCTCTCCAAAAGAAACATGGTTACAAAAAGCATGAATTTGGGGGTTAAGATATGTTTGTTACTTGAACTAGACAGGAAACTAGCAATTTCTGCGTTTTTATGTTTGGTTACAAAACTTCAAGTTGAGTGTCATAGTTTTATCCAGATTCACATGTTCAACTTCAGGCCAGTGGAAGAGGGTGTGACCCCTTCAAATGCAAAATCATATTAAGTATTAGGCTGACTATGTACATTTAGAATATACATCTCCTGTCACTAGCCTCCACTGATAGTCTAAATACCAATTCTTTTCAATAATGCTATCTTTCAATTTACTTGTATTTGTAGAGCTCAGCTATCTTCATTTAACAGATAAGGAAACAAACTCAGAGCAATGATGTGACTAATTTACAAACTGAGAGACAGTAGTAAAAGATCTGATACTAAGACGTAGGTCTTTTGACTAAATACTTAGGCAATAAATTAAAAAATAAAAAGCCAAAATATTTTATTTTTACTATAAGATTCATAACAATGCATATATTTTACATGTATGATTGGTGAGCTACTTTTTTCATATAGAGTTCTAAATCAAAACCTCCTTTTAAAAGTATTTTTGACTTTAGTTATTAGTAATTTCAATTTTATGTAACTAAAGTTGCTATTAATTCCATTAATTCTTTAAATCCAATAATAATATATTCTCTAGAATACAGTTACTGATGTTGGTATGTATGGGCCTCTATATACTTTGAATCTTTGTTAGTGTGATTTTTAATTGTGCTATTTGTACTTATGATGGCTCATGTATTAGTGAAGGACATTTCAAAAATGGTGAAATCAGATTTTACTGAAATCTTTTAAATTCTGTTTTATCTAAGATTATTGAGATACTGAGTATGTAGTGGAATGATTTAGAAAGTCTATATGAAGAGTCAGTTATTTTACTCCTAAAAATGATAGAATAGCAAATATCCTTGGAGTGCTTACTATGTGCCAGGCAGTACGATAAACATGATATATGCATTTTTTCTTTAACTATTTGGATTTCATTTCAGGTTTAGAATTAGGCACCTGGTTTGACAAATTACTTTGCAAACCTAGCCAGGAAACTTGATTCATGAATCATAATGAATTTTTGAATAGTATTTCCATTTTGTTTTAGGTATACTTGTGTTAATGAATATAAGCTATCAATGCTCCATTCCAATTTTTCCCCTTTATACCATGCAGGATGCTGGTAATATCAATGTACATAAACTTCAGTTTAGTGATCCCTTGCCTTCAGAAGTCTTTTGCATCCAGTAAGATGATTACTTCTGAGGCACTGTGACCCAGTAAAAAGAGTGTGGGCACTACCATCAAACAGAGCTGAGTTGGCATTCACCTGTCCACTTAGGGTGAGATGTTAGAAGGTTACCTTGTTTTTTCTGAGCCTATGCTTCAGTTTGCACATGTGGGATAATGAAGCACACCAGGAAATAATGTTGTGAGGATCAAATGTAATATATTTAAAATTGCCTTTAGAGGGCATTTAGTCTAACAATCATATTATTAGAATTTAACCTGTTGAGGATAACGTTATGTAATTTCATTTTTTTACTATCATTCTCAACAACTGGAGGCATTCATTTTTCTTATTTCTTTGCTTTGCTTTCCTTTAGTTATTATCAACAGTTACTTAGAAATATTTTCTTCTCCCATTTGACACCTGGCTTCACAGATCTGAGAGCCTAGTAGGTGAAATTATGTTCACAAACCCCCTCTCTAAAGATGAATATTATGAAAATATAAGGATTTTAATTTGGGCCTAAAATGGTTGGTGTATTTTGTCATAGTGATCTTAGTATTTGATCACAAGTAAGTAGAGAAAAAGGAACAACCCTGTGAACTTACGCAGACACTTTGTGTGTGTGTGTATGTGTGTGTGTGTGTGTGTGTATGTGAGAGAGAGAGAGAGAGAGAGAACATAGACTAGTAGGATTACCTTAGTTTCATATGTTCATTTTATTCAGGTTAGTTGTACTGATAGGATGGTACTGGAAAGTTCATGTTGTATTCCTTATAACTCACCAGATTTGCTATATTTAGTTTTAAATCAATATTTTTCATTATGTCACTAAAAAGTTAAATATTAAAATGATATTACAAGTCACAACTATAAACTATCTCCAACTAAACAAAAATTTTCAACACTAAGATTTAATAAAGTAAATATGAATCGTAAGTTTAATTCATCAGTTAATTACCCCTGATGGTACAGGTTTGAGTACTTAGCATCTACTAGTATGTGCTAGGAATTTGGTGGACATAAATGTATACTACAAGATTGTCAATCACATTGAACATTCGGTCTATCATTCTAAGGTTAAGCAATTGTTTTTCAGTAACGAAAATGGCTAACTTTCTATTATAGCTTATATTAACAGCCATTTATATATATTTTTTTGAATTTTGCTGATATAATTTTCTACTTTATATTATTTTAATGAAAAACTTTAGATACTTTCCATAGTCCAAGAAAGACTCAAGAGAATGAAAGATACATACTTCAGTCTGAGTGGTGTTATTGATCTTCTCAGTATGAGTTAGCTGTTGGAGAGAAATTAAACTGTAGATTTCAAAATATTTCTTAGTTGTTTATAGAGAGTTTTTAAAATTTGTTAGCAATATTTTTTATTTCATTTCTTGTTTCAACAATTTTGATTTCAAATGAAATTAAATAGATATTTAATTACAAAATAAAAGACAAACAAGAATATTTATTTTCAAAGACTTGTGTATCAGTATTAACTTTAAATTTCTGCAGATAATTTGAAAATTTACCAAAAAATATTCAACTATAAATGATTTTTATAAGAATATATTAGGATAGGAGTAGTTTTGTTGATCTGCTTAACAGGACTAAATCAAATAGCATTTTTAGTAAAGAAACACTATTTTTATCAGTGATTTCAATAACTTTAGGATGATGTTAATAGTTTTTAGAATACTAATTTTTACATTAAATTTTCATAGTTCTATGATAGCTTAACTCAAATGAGTAGAAATAAGACATTAAATCACACAGATAGTATTTCAAAATAAATGAAAATTTCATAAGCTAAATCATGTGATAATGCACTAATAATTTTAATACAATTATGTTGAAGTGTCAGTATGCTTATACATTGAGAGCAGAGTTTTAAAGTAAGTTTTAGACCTATTTTTAGTTCACATCTGGTGTATATCTTTAAATAGTTCACATCTGATGTATATCTTTAAATAGTTCCAAAAGCTATTACTAATTTTTAATGGTATTAATTATCTCATCTTTATTCAACCAAATATGTTATCACTAATACGAATTACACAAGTAAATAACTAATATTGCAATGAGTGAATTAATAGACCCCTCAGGGTTTTATTAATTAAAAAGTTCAAATCATATTAAAGCACCTTTCCTATATGTTTATTTCAATCAGAAAGCTGAACATGGTAACTTATTTGCATAAATAATCAATCACCATTTAGTAGTAGTAATAAGGTTAATTTGTTGCTACAGACATAATAGGATTAGTCAATTATATTTCCCAGAAAATGCTATTTGTTATGCACCCCATCACCTGTAAAACAGGATTGGGTTTAGTGCCCTTATTAAATGAACACATCAAAAAAAATCTTTGTCCCTGTAAAAGTTTTATAAAAGGAAAGCTAATTTTAGGTGATTTGAATAAAGTAAAAATGCAAGCATGGCATCCATTTGTAAATTTAATTTATCTTTCTGCGAAGATTGATTATTTAATAAAGTTATTTATTTTGATTCAGTAACCAGTCAAACTAAATCTAACACATATAGGACATACTTCCTTTGAAGAAAATCTCATTTGCAAATTTGTTTTATTCCAAATAAACTGACTTTCATTCCCTTGCCCTTGTTCTTGGGTAATAAATTATGTTGTCTGCTCCACCTACTGGTAGATATATGCAAAAGCCTATTGTTGGCATTAGTGAAAAACACTGCCTCTAAAATGTCACAATTTGTAAGAATCCTGAACATCGTCGGAGTTACAAGCACAAATCTAAAATTTAAGATCCAAATTACACAAAGCCAATGTTTGGAAATATAGGTTATCACATAGAATTATACACAGTAATACTTACCCGATGACTGAAAATGTTACCCTGTTTCTCATTTTTATAACAAAAAAGATAAATAAAAACAAAACATACAAATAACTCAGTATAATCTTTATATTTTACTTTTGTTAGACATTTAATAGTTTACAAGTATTCAATTTAAAAGTAAAATAAAATATTTTTAAATTTAACTGAAAATGTATACTTGTACGGTGAAAATAATTTCATATCATCATTTATGTAATAGATTTTTGTGTTTTTTCTGTAAGTAGGTAGGAAATTTTTTTATTTGGACACTAAT